GTGAAAAAGTTTTAACAAAATAATTCTAAAAATTGTATGATATATTTTTCAATGCATAAAATAAAAATAATGCAATAAAAATAAAAATATTATCGAGAAATGGAATAAATTATGTAATTACATTTATTATTTTAGTTTATTTAGCTATTAGTTTCAATGTAAATAATAAAAAATCGCGAAATCTTCCTTTGAAATAAGAACTTTACGAGTGGTGACTGTAAATGATTGTGATTTTTTTCCTCAAGTTGGTGTCGAATTTAAAATTTTAGTTTGGCAACTTGACTTTCAAATTCAAATGTCAAACTTTTATAGGCAATCGTCAAACATTTGTTGATGATGTAGCACATGAAACATTCTGATATAACAAATTAGAAGGATTACTAATAATTCAATAGATTTTTTTATCACAAATGTTAATAGTCACCCGGTATTTTAGAAGGTGTGTCAGAAATACCTGAAAGAACTCACCAAGTAAAACAATTTTTCTATATAACATTTTGCAAAATTTTTATTAATTATTTTTATTGTTTTCCCCAAAATTTTGGGAGCCATTCAATGTTAATAAATAATCACAACAATGCAGTTCTTTTAATGTAGTTCCGTTTTTATCACAACAAAAATATTTCGGAATTTTTAATTTGATACCCATAGGCGGGTATACGTTTTGATATGTTATCTTTTTCAAATTTTAAATCAAATTTGAAAGCTTTTATTAAAAAATTACAATAGCAAAAATCTATTATTTATCGAGATATGTGTTACGTGTTAAAATGAATATACGTATTTTTGATACACCCTGTATATGAAAAAAGGTAACAATTCTAAAAAGTCGCAATATTTTAAATTAATTTAATGAAGTAGTAAATAATTAAAAATGAAAACTACATAATGGAGAAAATAAAAGAAATCAATTAAAATGAAAATAAATATGAACGATTTTTTAAAATTTTTTTACGTTAATGTTTCGATTTGTTAAAACCACCAAAATTTCTTAAAATAAAAGCAGTCGATTTTTGTGGACCTTCTTAAAAATAATATTAATTTATTCAACTTACTCTTCTGTGTTAATAAATTTTAAAACTTGATTTTTGGTGGCATAAAAGGTCATAATTCTTCCAGAAATTCGTGAATGTTTCTGAAGAATTTTCGTGATCGTTTTGTGACTGTCATAATAAAAAACTGCATCGTACTAACTTTTAAACACGCTTTTTTCAAAGTTAGTACGCTTGCATTTAAATTTTTAACACGCACTACTCTGTTTCTTGTTACAAAATCATTTTCATTGTAACCTTTGTGTAAAATCCTGATTTAGTCCTATGTTTCACCTGCTTGATTTTTGCTTTTCAGGGCCAGGAAAACCTAGTAAGTAAAATTAATTTCTTGTCTAATTAAATCAAAATTAACAGTAGATATTGACTAACGGATTATTATTGGACACCAACGATTAGTTTGCTTAGTACGCTACACCATTTTAATAATTTTTTTATATTTCTATTTTATTATTTTTTTATTTTTCATTGGATAAATGTTTTGTGTTTTTGTGGTACCATTTACTAAACTATTATGGCCTTTTATCATTGCAGTAGACAATTCTAACCCGGATTAGAGTGGTAGTTCCGAACCGACTAAAAATTCAAAAAAAACACCAAATTAAACAAACTCGCGGTAGTGTCTGTTGTGATTTTCTTTCTCTTACAAAAATCTTGCTTACTCCCTTCTAGGGTAAAGGTACAGGATCTGGACACCGCACCCTTTTGTATGGTAATGCCATTCTTTTACGCCATCAAAACAGCGACATGGTAAATTGGTTGCAAATATTTCAGCAAATTTTTACCCCAAGTGAATTTTCAGTACTTGGCTTGTTTGTCGACAAGTTCAAGTAACGATAAACTTGCTTTTGATGTTGGGTTGCAAGAACACAGCCAAGGGGAAGCGTGCTGGTGGACGGTTCATCCCGCCAGCAAACAGAGGTAACAAAAAAAATTATCAATTTTTTGTATAAAATATATCAGGGGAACAGAAAGTTGCGTAAATTATTTATTTTTTGAAAAAACTAATTGCTGAATGAGAAAATACTGTGAAAATGTGACGTTTTTCAATAAAATTGATACGAATTTTTTTGTTTTTGAGTTTTGCAAAATTTTCAACTCACTATAAAACTCGTGAAAACCTTTTCTTAGAAAGGTCATGATCTCTATTTTTTTTTTAATTGTGAGTTACCATTTTGAAAAAAAAATCGGAAAAAAACAAAACAAAATTTCAAATTTTCGTTTTTTACTTCTCTTCCATTTTTTGTTTCTTAAATCAAATATTTTATTGTTGATTTGGCTTTTTGGAAAAATCAAAGTTCCAATTTTGACGATTTTATAGAATTTTAATAGAAATTTTTGATTACCAAATCGGGTAATTTGTGGATTGGGAAAATTCAAATTCTAGTTTTGACAATTTTTAAAGAATTTTTTTGTGTCATTAAAAATACGGATCTAAAGGATTTTTACAACATTTTTGTGGTTTTCCATAGTTTTTTTTCTTGTTTTTTCACTTTCCTCTTATTTTTTTGTTCTTCAAATTGAATATTTTATGGATTTGACTTTTGAGGACAACTAAAATTTCAGTTCTGACGATTTTCTAGGATTTTTAGAATGCTATTAGAAATTAAATTAGCTTTTTGTAACAAAAACAAAGAATCTATCTAAAAATTAAGGCCCCTATAATAATAAAAACTTTACCAATTTTTTTTTCATTAAACCTCATGCAAAAAGGCATATATTAAACAGCGAATTTTTTGATTACAAAAATGAATTTTTTGGATTCAGATTTTGGAATTTTTGAATGTTGTTAAGTATCACTTTGTTACTGTTTTCACAAAATTTGGTAAAACCAAAATTCTGATTTTGACGATTTTTACAGAATTTTTCGTATGTCATTAAAAATAACGATTTTTACATGATTTTTGAGGTTTTCAATAGTTTTTTTCTTAATTTTTTCACTTCTCTCATTTTTGTGTTCCTCAAATCGAATATTTATTGATTTGGCTTTTTAGGGCAACTAAAATTTCAGTTCTGACGATTTTCTGGATTTTTAGAATATTATTAGAAATTAAATTAACTTTTTGTAATAAAAACAAAGAAATTATCAAGCCCCTATAATAATAAAAACTTTACCAAACATTTTTTTCATTAAACCTCATGCAAAAAGGCATATATTAAACAGCGAATTTTTTGATTACAAAAATGAATTTTTTTATTAATATAAAGTAAATACTATAGTACTAATTGAGAATTTTCGCAAGGAAATTAAACTTTTTGGTTTAAAAATAGAAAGACATGGACTTTTTGGATTCAGATTTTGGGATTTTTCAATGCTGTTATCATTTTTTACTGTTTTTGCAAAATTGGGTAAAACCAAAATTCTGGTTTTTATAGAATTTTTCGTATGCCATTAAAAATAAGGATTTTTACATGATTTTAGTGATTGTCAATAGTTTTTTTCCTAATTTTTTCACTTCTTTCATTTTTGTGTTCCTCAAATGGAATATTTAATTGATTTGGCTTTTTGGGAAAATCACAATTCCAGTTTTGACGATTTTGTAAAATTTTTAAATGCCATAAAAAAAATTTCATTCATATAAAACGGATGAATATTTTAGATCTGAGGGTGAAAAAGTGCGCGTTGGAGACGACCTAATTTTGGTTTCAGTCGCAACAGAACGATATTTGGTGAGTTTCCCACTTGTTTTCCAATATTTTTCACACCACTTTGTAGCACACAACGAAAGAGAACGAAATTTCCATCGTAAACGCAAGTTTCCACGTAACCCATTGGTCCGTCCAACCATATGGTACTGGAATCTCGCGCATGAAGTACGTCGGCTACGTTTTCGGCGGCGATGTTCTTCGATTTTTCCACGGTGGTGACGAATGTCTGACCATACCATCAACATGGAGCATCGATGCGAAGTAATCTCAAATTTTATTAATTAAAAATGTAATTAATTAAAATTAATTTTGTAGTATTGTAATTTACGAAGGCGGAAGTGTAATGTCTCAAGCCCGGTCTTTATGGAGATTGGAATTGGCGAGGACCAAATGGGCCGGTGGTTTTATAAATTGGTCACATCCAATGAGGATTAGACATATTACAACTGGGAGATATCTCGCAGTTAATGAAAATAATGAATTGTATCTTGTTAGTAGAGAAGAGGCAAATACTGCAACCACAGCTTTTTGTCTGAGACAAGAAAAAGATGACCAAAAGGTTGTGCTTGAGGACAAGGATTTGGAAGTTATTGGGTCACCCATTATCAAATATGGCGACTCCACGGTCATTGTGCAACATTCTGAAACTGGACTCTGGCTCTCTTACAAGGTGAGGTCTCATTTCAACAATTTGAAAAAATTCTTGCAATTAAACGAATTTTTAAACTGGTTTTCCACAAAGAATACTCTAAATGTCTACAACCGATAACTTCAAATATTAGAAAATGTTATTTCTGAAACAATTTGTATACTTTTACAAGTTGTTTTTTCACAGATATATCTTCTAAATGTCTATAATTGATAAGTAAAAAATATCTAACTTTGAATATTAGAAAATCTCATTTTTAAGCCACTCTGTATACTTGGAGGTTATGGACTTTTTACATTTATTTGTACAAGACTAAGATTTTTCAATGCTGTTTTCGCTTTTCTGCTATTTTCATTCCTCAAATGAAGCATTTTGTGGTTTGACAACAATTTAGAAAAATAAAGTTTTATTTTTTTTTACTTATTTCCCATTTTTTTTGTTCCTTAAACAAATATTTTATTATTAATTTGGCTTTTTGGAGAAATCAAAGTTTATAGGATTTTTATAGACTTTATTGATTTCAAAAATGATTAATTTTTTGTAATAGAATGACTAATTGAAAATTTTTTCTAGGAAATTAGACTCTCATTTCTGAGACACTCTGTATACTTGGACTTTTTACATTCATTTGTACAAGACTAAGATTTTTCAATGCTGTTTTCACTTTTCTACTATTTTCATTCCGCAAATCAAACATTTTGTAGTTTGACAACAATTTGGAAAAATAAAATTTTAATTTTTTTACTTCTTTCCCATTTTTTTTGTTCCTTAAACAAATATTTTATTATTGATTTGGCTTTTTGGAGAAATCAAAGTTTATAGGATTTTTATAGACTTTATTGATTACCAAAATGATTAATTTTCTGTAATAGAATGTCTAATTGAAAATTTTTTCTAGGAAATTAGACTCTCATTTCTGAGACACTCTGTACACTTGGAGGTTATTGACTTTTTACATTCATTTGTACAAACAAGACTAAGATTTTTCAATGCTGTTTTCACTTTTCTACTATTTTCATTCCGCTAATCAAGCATTTTGTCGTTTGACAACAATTTGGAAAAATAAAATTTCATTTTTTTTACTTATTTCCCTTTTTTTTTGTTCTTTATACAAATATTTTATTATTAATTTGACTTTCTGGAGAAACCAAAATTTTTTAGGATTTTTATAG